AAGAAGAAGAAGAAGAAGAAGAAGAAGAAGAAGAAGAAGAAGAAGAAGAAGAAGACCAAAGTCTTCATCAACGGAGTACTAAATACAGTACAAACTGTGACGAGAAAACAACTGGCAAAGCAACAGAACTAATTTTAAAAAAAAAAAAACTCAACATGAAACCCAAAAATACATAATGAGGAAAAAGTATGAATACGAAGGATATACGTAGCTGTATTTAGTACTCCGTTGATAAAGACTTTAGTCAAAACGTTTAGTTGTGTTTGTGTGAGTCTTTTCTATTGCCTCCGTGGAGCTTTCTAGTCGTATTCTGTGTTATATGTAACATTTCTTGCAATCAGCTGGACTGTAGTCACCCCCTATTCGCGTCATCGTCATGAGGCATGGTCTGGTATAGAGCTATGCAAATAGGGAAGGAAAAGTCGGTAGGAGCCGCGCGTTGCTATGTAACAGTAACACGGAGAAGTCAAAAGTAGCTATCTGACTGGTTCCAATGGTTCCCCTGCCGCTGATATTTCTGTACAATGGCTAGTATAGAAGAGGAAAGGTCAAAGGACACCTGGCGGAGTTTCATTCAGTGCGGAACGCAGTATTTCGTTCATAACTCGGACAATAACAAAGATACGGTAACGAAATTTGGAGTGGATCTACCTCAGTTCATGCGAAGTCGGGTGCCATCTTAACAGGCGCTGAAAACGGCCACTATGAGCCTCCTGCCCTTGAAAGCAAACATCAGTGCGGCCATCCAAGCAGTGACACCTGACGTACTGAGACGGACTTTCCATAATATGGCTGGCCGTGTCCAATGCTACCTGGGCGCCAATAGTGGCCATATCCAGTACCTGTTATTGTGTCAGGCGACTTTGCATGAATGGAGCACGACCGGCTACAGCTGGAGCACCGCTTGTTGACGGAGGTACGTCCACTCCAACTTTCGTTGCCCTACCTTCACTAGTGTCCGAGTTATGAAGAAGACTCTGGCTGGGTTCTGCCCCGAGTAAAACATCTGACAACTGCTGCACTTTCAAACAGTCCACGCACAATGCTTATTTCGTCTACAATGAAAATTTGGCATCAGATTGGAACTGAATGGGAAATCAAGAGCTCGCCAAGCAAAGATGTTTGCGCCTTCTTTGTCTGGACTAAGCTCGTCCCCCGACAGGGGCCCCGCTACAGAGAATTCAATAAGGGTAACGCCTCAGCCTCCCTTGTAACATTCTAGGGAGTGGGCTAAAAGGGCTTTAGTCTGGTTTACGTGTGTAAATATTATTATTATTTGTGCAGGAACACATAAATATAATTTGAAATATTAAACACAATAAAGGAAATGGAAGGATGAATAAAGAAATACAATCAAGACGCAATAAAGGCAATCAAATTATAGCACACAAGACACTGATACTAAATGTAAGCATGGGAGGAATATGAACATCAAAAGAACACTGTTCAACACAGTATTCTCACCAACGCTGTGCTATCAGTGTCAAACATGGGCACTGGGTTCAGAAGACAGAAGAAACATAGCCACAACAGAAATGAAATGTTTACACAGATCGACTTAGAAACGAGGGTATCAGGAGGAGAGTCGGTACAGAACCATTACTGAACTTTATCGGCAGACAACAGATCAAATGGTTTGGCCTTGTAACAAGACCGGCAACAGAGAGGGCATCACAGAGAGCAATGTTGTACAAATACAGTGGTAGCAGACCAGAGGTCGACCATGCACAACATGGTCCATGGAAATACCGGAGACACTGACGAGTACTTTACACGAACAGAACAATCCGTTCCAGAGATGGCTTCCTGCCCTGACACGGCGAGGCACTGCAGGAGTAGAGAAAGGAGGAATACATAACAATAACTTTAACAAGAAAATCAGAAGTGTGAGGGAGGGGAGCTCAGCATCTGTAAACATATTGAGTGGGGGGGGGGGGGGTTCTAAGTGCATGAACTTCCAGGTGCCGTCGCCCATCGACTACGCAGTTTCATACTTAGTGTGCCACCAGGTGTCTCTGCTAGGATCTCCTCCCACGGCCGATGAGGATAAAGATAGGGCCAGACTGGCTTATTGCATCTGGTGTAAACCTGCCCCCTGGTGGCTGACTTTTCGCGAAACTTATAAACATGTAAACAGACAGACTACCCCAGACACGGCGTCGATTGTTTGCAATTACCAGGGACGTTGACGTCTTGAAGCGGTCGTTACGGGAAAAACGCGGTGTATCAGCGGGCTCTTGTGTTAGTGGCTTCAGATCTGCTAGTGGTGAAAGAACGTAGGCGTGGTTGCAGAGGTAGTGGTTGGTGTGGTAGATGTCGTAGCTGATTTGGGAGAGGAAAGGAGGAGCAGGAGCAGGGATAGTGGAATGAGAGGGTGGGGGATACTGTTGATAAAGGGGAAGGAAGAGAAAAAAAAGATGAGTAACAGCACCAACATGAACTTCGGGAGAAACGAAAGAAGTGAGTGACTGGTAACCGAGTTCGCTAAAAGGTTGAATCAAGCAGTCTATAATTTCACTAACACATCAGGTTGCAATCAGTGCCACCATGTACCCTGCTATGTGCATGACATGTCAGGATCGATGCGTCGGGTGGGTGTACACGGAAACTGTAGAGGTCAATGTTGCCTGCAGCAGTGGACAGTCCTTTATTCCGGGTGCCAGCGTGTGCAATTTGTACACAGATACATCATATCATCAGTCTGAGTGTCTGCTTCTTCTTCTTCTTCTCGTTATCATTATTATTATTATTATAATCATCATCATGATTAGTCATCTTTCCTTCTTATTCCTCCTATTTTTCTTCTTTCCTTTCTCGTCCCTTCTTCTTCTTCTCGTTATTATTATTATTATTATTATTATCATCATCATCATGATTAATCATCTTTCCTTCTAATTCCTCCTATTTTTCTTCTTTCCTTCCTCGTCCCTTCTTTTTCTTCTCCATTCTTTCGTTCTCGTTTTTCTCCTTCCCATCTCCTTCTTTCTTTTCATCATGAATTTTTCCTCCTTCATCCCACTGCGCTCCAACCGGAACCACTATCTGCATCTAACGATTTCTTTCGGTCATTTGGCGTGAGGACAAACTCCGAAATAAACCAGGGGAAACTCAAATCGGTTGCAAGCCCAGTTATATGCTCCACTTAGAGCAGCCTGGTCTATTATTTCCGCTGCTTGCACGGCCACATAATAGGGCTCTTCATTCCAAGTGTCCCGTTATCTACTTCAAGCGGCACGCAGACTGGTTCCCATAATAATACTGGAAGCGGCATCGAGTGTTGGTCAGTAAAGATAAGATTTAATGGGTGCATTGTGTTTACCCAGGTAATGTTTTTCCGGGATTTACAGCATACAATGTGGATATCAGGGGCAAACCTGAGGCCAGCAGTGCCGTCTCTTAACTAGAATAGACCCTACTTGGTCTGGCGCTGGTCTCCAGACAGGCTCCACAATCGACATTAAAAATGGTGTATGTGGGCGGGGTGCATACATGAGAGATAGAGGCAGATGTTTCATTTTTACGTATGTGGCTTTCCTCTTTTCTTAGCCAGGAACTTTTAAAGTTTCACTGACAATCAATATTTATGCGCAAAATGGGCAGATGTAATTTCGAAATCGAAATTTAGAAACGTTAATGTCATTACGCTAACGAAATACAAACATAAAAGGCACGAGGAGCTTTCATAACATTAGGAAATTTGTGGAGGTTAAGAGAAATTAAAACTAATACTTAACCTAAAATCGGTATTTCTAATGTCAAATAGTACTGCTGTATGCAGCGGAAATATGGATAGCAACTAAAGCAGTTACTAATTAACTACAAACATTCCTTAACTGGTGTCTGCGCAGAATAGAAGGAATTAAATGGTATGATTAAAATCACTAATGCAGAGCTTTGGGAGAGAACTAAACAAGTTCCAGTAGACCAAGAGGTGAAGAAAAGATGCTGGTATTGAATAGGACACACGTTGAGAAAACCTGAGAACAAGATAACTATAAAGTCTTTGCCCTGGAACCCCCAGGGGCATAGAAATAAACGAAAACCAAAAACACGTGGAAAAGGGAGCTAGAGAGTGAAGTTAAAGAGATGGGGAGGACATGGGAAGGGCTGTATGCGATACTAAAGGATCGAATCTCGGGGTGCGCTGGTTGAGCCTATGCTCCATTGGAAGTTAGAATAGCAGAACAGAAAAAAAAAATTCATTAAGAAGTAAGAGAATGCATAATAAACTGTAGCATCTCTTGTCAGCAACTGATTTCTCCTTCCCTCGTTTTAAGACTATAAATGAAAGTGCTGTGGGTCCACGTATTCGTCACAGATTAACTTACTTAGGCATCTGTGATAGCAGCCTACCAAAACTGAAAGCTGAACCATGACTAGCTTAAACAGGCTTTGGTCGAACATTCTTCTCATAGCTGTGATACCGGTGCAACAAGTCTGATCGTTGAACCATGACTAGCTTAAGCTGTTCGTAATCGAACTTTCTTCTCATAAAGCACATCCGCGATGTTTTAGTGACGTCACCATTTCATGCCCCCCCCCCACTGTGGGGAGACTAGAATATACCCACTGCCCCCCCCCCCCCCCAACAAGCATGTGGCAAACCACGGCCTTCTCTAAAGATGGCCGTGTGGCAAACGTCCATTAGGGCTTTCTTTCAAAGTCTCTGTGCATCTGCCTGACAGACAAGGAACCTAATTATTAAAACGGATGTGCACGCAACACTTAAGTTATGGAAACAAATACCAGTGAACGAACAACTAGAACTTTCTGCCAGTTTACAGTCAGTGAACACAGAGACGCAGAACAAAACAAATGACATCAATTAACAAGAACAAGCTCGCTCCCAAATAACCTGCTTGCTTCGCGAAACAAACAAACTAGTTATGACTAGGCTATTGCGCCATATACAATTACTTAGCATTGGTCGTTACAAAGTAGCTCTCAAAAGGACTCGAAAACAAACCACGTAAACAGGCGTATATATCTTTTGTTCACAGGAACCGCCCCGCTGTGGATCTTTGTACTGGGCCAGTACTTTCTGGCCGACTCGCATTCCATTCTCAACCCTCACGTGATCCCCATCTACCACTTCGAAGTGTGGCTGGTGTGCAACTTCCTCGCCTACGCGGCGGGACTCACCATCAAGCGGATGAGGCCTGCAGTAGCCGACGCCATCCTCATGTGGTTCATCAAACCGTTCTTGTTGCTAGCCTGCATCCTCTACGTCACCCTGGGCGTCTACATCAACATGTACGTGTTCGAGCTGGTCGACGGGGCAGCACTCCTCTCCGCCATGCTTCTGCCGCTCAATGGTTGCCTGATGGGCGCGGCTCTGGCGGCCGTCTGTCGGCAGAGCTACGCCCACATGAAGACTATAGCTCTGGAGACTTGCAGTCTCAACTGCCTGATCGTCATGGTAGCGCTGAGATTCTCCCTAAAGCAACCAGACGCCGATCTGGCGGCCGTGACCCCCATTTGGGTCATGTTTACAATTCCAGGACTGTTTGTGGTGCTTGCCTTCTGCAACAAGGTGAAGAGCATCATCCTCATGTTTTGGAGGAACCGAGGCAACAAGGACAGCGATGCGCAGAGCTCGTCTAAAGCTTACTCCATCAGCTCTTCCATGATCAGCCCGCCTGGCACAACAACGCTGTCAGCTCCCCTGGTCACGGCTGACGGGTTGGACGATGACGTCACAATCAGCAGCAGCAGCAATCAAAGGGTGACAGTTTTGTAGCTCAAGTCCAAGTTCTTCCAAACGACACAGTCAGCATGAACTTGCTGGGGCTGTCTGGCAATCGCCAGCTACTACTAGACGGCGTCCACCGACATCTTAACCGACGCCATCATGAATCTTGCAAGCCAGTAATTGTAACGATTTGCTTCCTAAAATTTACATTTCTTCGGGAAGATGGAGCACCTAATTATTTGCCCGAAGTGCTGTCATGACGATTCTTAAAACTGCGATACTGAACGACTAACCGATAGGCTGTGCAGCCATGCTACCGGATACACATTGCAGCATTCAGCGAGTGTCTTGGTGACGAGACCTGTAACTCAAACGGGTAAACAGATGCGTTCCGTCTCAGACGCTACCCGTCATCAGACAATGGGATACTTTCTGGAAACACAACAACGGTCTACACATTTTTCTATACAATATTCACCCGTTTCTATGCACAGGGTGTGGATCCACTAGGGTGGAAGTTTGTGTCAAATGCGCCCGTGACGAGATTTGGACTGTTTAATATGGAATCGGTTTAGACGGGTATATGAAAGTCAGGGGAAAGCCATCACACGAATGTCTCATGAATACGTTTATGGGCAGTCACAAAACGTGCATGTGTAGCAAGATCAGTCTCCTGGCGTGCATGATCAGACGTGCATGTAGTAATCAGAATGTTTGGTAATAAAAAGAGGGAAACGTACATATCTCAGAGACTACCATACTATCGTTTTCGGCAAGCTGACAACAGACGGTTGCACGACTCCAAGTCGGCTTGTGACGGTGGGGGATTAAATCCATTTCTGGGACCGGGATTCGAAAAGAACGTGGTATCTTAATTCCTACCATAGCACACGCCAATTGACGTGACATTAGTGTAGGCATTTTTCAACTCTTAATGGCACACTATAGAATAATCATCACTTCATTTCTCATGTGAAGTACACAAACACAAATCGCATGTAAACACTGAATGTACGGTAGGCTGACCACGGTAGTAGTGTGCTGCAGGAAATCAGTGTTTTAGTGGATGATTCTGACAGTGTGCTGCAGGAAATCAGTGTTTTAGTGGATGGTTCTGACAGTGTGCTGCAGGAAATCAGTGTTTTAGTGGATGATTCTGACAGTGTGCTGCAGGAAATCAGTGTTTTAGTGGATGATTCTGACAGTGTGTTGCAGGAAATCAGTGTTTTAGTGGATGATTCTGACAGTGTGTTGCAGGAAATCAGTGTTTTAGTGGATGATTCTGACAGTGTGTTGCAGGAAATCAGTGTTTTAGTGGATGATTCTGACAGTGTGTTGCAGGAAATCAGTGTTTTAGTGGATGGTTCTGACAGTGTGTTGCAGGAAATCAGTGTTTTAGTGGATGATTCTGAGAGTGTGTTGCAGGAAATCAGTGTTTTAGTGGATGATTCTGAGAGTGTGTTGCAGGAAATCAGTGTTTTAGTGGATGATTCTGAGAGTGTGTTGCAGGAAATCAGTGTTTTAGTGGATGATTCTGAGAGTGTGTTGCAGGAAATCAGTGTTTTAGTGGATGATTCTGAGAGTGTGTTGCAGGAAATCAGTGTTTTAGTGGATGATTCTGACAGTGTGCTACATGAGGTTAATAATGTGAGGTCAATGTGTCTATAGTGTGTTACAGATGTCAATATTAAGGACCTATTCCTCACAGTGTTACAGGAGGTCACTATCTGAAGCTCTTTATACTGTTAGAGGACATCAACTTTCGGGTCTTATTCTTCACACAGCCTGACACAGAAGTTCAATACTTCTTAGAGTGCATCAGAGAAGGCAAGTAACCAAGCTCATTACTTCCTGGGTGTGTTACAGGGGACAGTATATGGTACCCAGGGTGTGTTACAGAGGACAGTATATGATACCCAGGGTGTGTTACAGGGGACAGTATATGGTACCCAGGGTGTGTTACAGAGGACAGTATATGGTTCCCATGGTGTGTTACAGGGGACAGTATATGGTACCCATGGTGTGTAACAGAGGACAGTATATGGTTCCCATGGTGTGTTACAGAGGACAGTATATGGTTCCCATGGCGTGTTACAGAGGACAGTATATGGTTCCCATGGTGTGTTACAGAGGACAGGATATGGTTTCCATGGTGTGTTACGGAGTATATGGTTTCAATGTTTCCTATTGTGTATTTCAGTGGAAACTATATGGTTTCCATATTTCCTGTGGCGTGTTACAAAGGACAGCACATGGTTTCCATGTTTCCTATGGTGTGTTACAAAGGACAGTTTATGGTTTCCATATTTCCTATGGTGTGTTACAACGGACAGTATATGGTTTCCATATTTCCCATGGTGTGTTACAAAGGACAGCACATGGTTCCGATGTTTCCTACGGCGTGTTACAGAGAACAGTAAATGGGTCGATATTTCCCAGAGTGTGTTAGAGAAAGTCATTATGTTTTGTCTGCAAATTTAAGCAACGAATTTGTCACTTAATACCATGATTATGCGTTTCATACGCCCTGCACTCTTACCTAGTATTACAAAGAAGATCAACTCTTTTTTTTTTAATTCATGACACAGCCTGAAGAAGTGACTACGTCCTTTCAGCGACCCTACAGTGGAATAACTAGTTCAGAATGAGTCACATAATTTAGTTTGTTTTTTTAAACTCAAAAGAATAACTAAATCATTACAAAAAGGGCATGGTTGTACGATTATTTCAGAACTGAAATATTTGCCTAACTTGGAACCAAGACATAATTGTGAGACGATGAATAATTTGCTGTCACAGGAGAGTGCGTGTGTTTTTATCTAGAAACCTCGCTGACAGCGTGGGTGCCACTTGAAAAGATTTATAGCGGTTCTCAAACTTGACACAGACCGAGGACAACAACGGCGATCTCACTCTGCGCAGTCAAATGTACACATCAATATTTATTTACATACGTGGACAACAAATCAGTAATGAATGTCATGGCAGAGAGGGAAATAAAATGTCCTGCACTAAGATGGTGTCACAGCTGCTGGACATCGAGCAACTAGACAGAAAAGGCACTAAGACGTCTTTCAAAACAAATGTTACGGGAAACGGCTAAAAATTGCACATACAGGAAATAGATCAATTAGATTTATCCAGCGGAACCTCAACAATGACAAAGACTCATTATCATCCTGTGCCGTGAAGAAAAACTGATATTTACAATGAATACATTTAAGAACAATGAAGTATTCTGGACAAGTAAAAGACAAGAAGATGGGAATAGGGTTAACAATGATGGAAGCAGGAGTCTGTGCCATGCGGAGCAGAGGAAACCTTCTTCTTCTTCTACTTCTTTCGTTCGCCTGAAATAAGTTGTCTATATCAGCAGTTTTGTCTCTTGTATAAATTTCACTGTCGTTGTTAGTTCATTCAGTGGTCCATAGAGTTTACGTTCCACTGTTGTTCTTTCTGGCCAAAAGGTTTGCCTTAATGTGTCAAATTCGGTGCAGTCTTGGAGTACATGCTCAGCTGTCTAAGGCACCTTTCCACAGGTTCACATGGCTGGTACACCTATCTTGAAATTTGTGTACATGTGTACACCAATTGTACTCAAAATGTAAAAGACGATGTATGCATGATAGCAACATACGCTGAATATCTAGCTGCCTTATGACAATAAACACATTTACATACAGAAAGACACACAAAACTATAATGCCGCAAACATCTGTGTAGAAAAAGCTGGACGATGACACAGAAGACAAATGAGTACATACAAACATTCGGTAACAAGCTGGCGAGAAGGACAATTAACAACGGCTAGCACAGAATATTAACATTCTTTACCTACAATTGAGGTCGCCATCATGGAAAGGTGTCCGGATGTTCCAGGTACTTACATTGTGTTCCGTGCTAGTGTGGTCTTGTGTGTCCGCTGAAACAGATGACTTTCCCGAGTTGTTTCCCTCGAGTTGTTTCCCTCGAGGACTAGTCTCACTGAAGAAACACCAGACATCACGGAATCTGTGAATCCTGACTGAACTACTATATCGTCTTCGCCCATAAACAGAGGGGTGGCACGATATTTTGTGGTTTACAGATAGGCTGCGATAGCTGCATCTTCCAGTCGAACGCATCCGATTTCAGCAACACTTTAATTGGTCGCCTCTTACGCATGCTTGTTAAAGAAGGGGCAGTGGGTCCATCCACCCCCCCCCCCCGTTCCATATATGGGACCCCAAAACCCACATGTGGAGAATTACAACAGATCTGTAACACTCGCAATCTCGCAAACTCGTCATTTGCTTCCTGGCCACACACACTGGGCTCCCGGGTCAACCAAGCCTAAAAGGGGCACAATAAAATATGGGAAGTAAAGGCGGTCGGCAAGACCTTGACCACATCAGTAGTCAAGTACCTACTGATCTATAACAACATGAGACTAGCATCATATAAACAAGTTAGTTGCTTCCCTTTACAGGACGTTGCAGAACCAACCTTAGCATTTTGTATTACTGTTGTAGTTTTTCTAAGCAATTTGTACGTTCAGTAGTTTGTCATTTCTTTCATAACGGTCAGCTCTCGGTACCACTGTCGAAACCAACACAAGACGAACCGTCTGGGATCCAACCCGGCATTACGAAGCATGTTCGCAACACCAAAACCTTAGAGGCCGACACCATATACCCGACACAAAAGATGTCTGACGGGCCTTCAACTCACAGCTCGACCTGCTCTGACGGTGTTTCATATCCACCGTCTGAGCCATGGTCATCGTGCCACAGTTCCTTTTGATTTGTTATTGACTGTCCTTATCCGAGATGGTCACATGTCGGAGAGGAGTCTATCACCCTGTTTATTTCACACCATCCCCGAGTGGGTTTCGGTACTCCATTTTAGGGGTAAACAAAAAACAGACCCACTGCCTCCCCAACAAGCATGTCGTAAGAGTCGACAAAGGGGACTTTCTTCGAAGTTGCAGTGCATCTGCCTGAAGCCAGGTCATGCGTGGATATCTTTTGAAGGAGGTCCTCACAAACAGCCCTGGTGGAGGCATTTTA